CACCAGGGGCCGGCGCGCGCGCAGGAAGGCAGGGTTCAAGCCCGCGCCCCGCGTTGGGGTGTGTTAATCCCGCGTCGCTGCGCGCCGGGCGGAGGCAACAGCGTTGGAGGCGCCCAGCTACTCTTGATTTGCCGCTGCCCGTGGCTGCCAGGCCGCTCGGGGCGACCTGCCAGGCTCTGATTCGTCCATGACTGTACCTCGCCATCCGCGTGGCCAGCTGGTCGGAATGTCAGACATCCAGGCGGCCAGGCGTCCGACCGCCCGCGTGTCACAACACGCGCAGCTCCACACCCGCATCCGCCCATCAAATGCTTGAATCTACATGACTTTGACCGCACCAACCATATCCCACCTTGACGACTGCCTCCATGATAGAATCGCTGTCCGCCGCGTAATTGGGGCCGCCGCGCCGGCCCGGGAAAGCCTGACCAATCGGCTGCAGCGGCGCCTGCTTGCCGCCAGACACCCCCTCGGCCTCCTGCTGCGCGCTCGTCGTGCCGGCGCCGCCCTGGCGCCGGTGGTGGCGGCGCGCGGGCTGGTCGCCAGGGGGCGGCGGCGGCTGCTCGGCGGCGGCGGCAGCGGCACCGCCGCCGCGGCGGGGGCGGGCGCTGGCGGGGGCCGGCGTGTCGGCGTCTGGGCCAGATGAGGCGTCCTGCGTCAAGGCACGCAGGGCCACGTGAGGCCAGGAGAGGATCCATTGCAAGGCTAAGAAGGGTTGGAGTCGGTTTCAAGGCGCCGGGCTGCATGGATGTGATTCATGCAGCTGGTACGGCGCCAGTGGCGCAGCACCATGAAGCGGTGTGCTGCGAGTCTTTGTTGCTCAAGTTCACCTCGCCCCTGGGAGTAGGCGCGCCCTGCTCGTCCTCAGCGGTAGCCTCCACTTTGGCTTTCTTCCTAGGCGGCGCCTTTCCCATTTTTGATGTTGAGATCACTGCTTTGAGGGTCACTACTTGATCCAAAGGGGTTGAGATGCATTCACGACACTATCAATTGTATTGTTGGGCCTATGGGGTGGTAAGAAACTTGTCGTGGCAACGCGCCGTCGACTGTTTCGGCATCACCGCGACGAGGTGCGGCAAACTTGGGAGGGGATTGGTTGAATTAACTGACATATTCATTCTTGCGGGAGTGTCCCACTACCCACCCTTGACGCCCTCTCCTCCCACCCCCAAGTCACAGCTGGCTGCCCGAGCCAAGCTGTATCAGCTGTCAGCTGCCTTGCAGCAAAACCTCAGGGGGCCCACAGTCGCCTCAAACGCCGCTCACTGGCTGGATCAGCGGGTTGCAAATGGAAACAATGTCAGACGCGGCCGGCCGCGTCGATGACAGGTGCGGCCGATTTTGAGCTGGCTCCCGGTGGCCGGCTGCCAGCCCAGCTGCATCGCGTTGTCCTGTACGCGGCCCGGCGTGCTGCATCAGATGCAAGAGGATTGCGGGAGCCAGCTTCAATGCCTCACCTGGCTGTGGTGGCAGCAGGGTTCTTGTGGTGGGAGGGGTTTGTCATCTGAACCTGATGCTGCATGCGAAAAGTACAGGGTCGCGCATGCCCCAAATGGGGCGTGGCGGTGACGGAAGTGCGGGTGGAGAGGTGGTAATGAAGGTGGCAAGTATAAAGAATTGAGAAGGGCTACGAGTGTTTCTTGGGGGTTGCTGGTGCCGCTCACGCACCGCTGAGGGTTGCATGCACCGACCAGGCACGGACTGCATGGTGCTGGCACTGCTTTTGCTGCAGTGTCGTGTCGGATGTCCGTATACCTGTCTGATCGTTCAAAAGTGATTGTTGTCCCAAGTACTAAACAACGTATTACTCCTGGGCAACATTTTGGTTTTGGTTCAGCCTTTCAATGCAGGTGCAATGGTGCCTTCCTCTGAACGTGGGGCCTTGGGCAACCTTGGGCACACAAACAACGGTGAGAATCACCCGCGATTGCACTCAAACGATGCAAGCGAGCAGGAAAGAGGTACAAGGTCCTCAAGGAATGAAAGGAATGCAACGCGAATAAGCGCATGCTTGCATACATGCACATGTGCATGGCCAGGGTGCTGGACCTTACTCACATGGGCTTGTGTTTTAAGGCGTGAATGTGCAACTCCCCCCACAAGGCTTGCGTACAGCGCAATCAGGGTGCCAGCTTGCGAAGCCAAGGATACTCTTGTTTCAGATGGGGCTTGTGCATGTGCAGGGTGGTATGTTCAACCACAGTGATGCAGCGAAGGAATCCCTCATGCGCAGATGTGTTGGCACGCGCAGTGCTGTAAATCAGACACGTGTGGAAGGACGCGTATGTGCATGCAATTGCCCCACACGCGTGCATTGTGCAATGAACGCGGCGGCAGCAATGGCTCAGGGTTGGTGCAGGCTTCCCAAAGGGGCTCGCTAGCCTCGTGCTGGCCCACTGACAGTCAGCCTCGCGACAGGCCACTGCAGCTGGCGTCTAGACCCACCTGCGGCGGCCAAAGTAACGGCCGCCCCAACCGCCGCCCCACATGCCGCCGTACGGGCCGAAGCCGCCGTAGCCGCCGATGCCGCCGCCGGCCAGTATGGGCGACTGCCAGCGGTTCCACGTCGCGTCGCACTCGGGGGACCAGAGCTCCGAGCACCGGTAGGCGCGGTTGTCGAGGGAGGAGCTCACGCTGCGCTGCGCCTGGCCAGACTCCAGGTAGCTGTTGCCGCGGTAGCCCAGCTGGGGCAGGAGGAGGGGGGCGGGGGATAACGGAGGCGGGTGGCACCGGCGGTCGTGAGCCAAACGCGTAGGGGGGGATGGTTGTTTCTTTGCCGGCTCCTACTGTGGGATGCTGTTGTGCCAGGAGCCTCCAGCGACGGCAAATTTTGAGGGCAGGCGGCTCCTGGTGATCCAAGTGCCTCAGGCAGGTGCAAAGCACAAGATCGATATGCTGGGTGGGACGTGTACGTAAGCACACGCAGTCGAGCCAGGGTGTCCCGGGGCCCACCCACCTGCAGCACGCCGTCCACGACGGGGGCGCCCCGCTGCTCGGCAGTCTCCCAGTCGTCCGAGACCTGCATCAGCTTGCGGGGCCCGGTGGCCCTCAGGTGGATGGGTTTGGGCGCTCCGGCCTCTGCCAATGAGCATAGGGC